GGGGCCGGAGGGGGCCGGAGGGGGCCGGTCTAGCTGTCCTCCCGGACCGGCCGGATCTTCATCTCAGAGAACTTGAGAGAGTACTGCCAGCCGGTCCAGGAGGACCACTCGACGCCATCAGCGTAGGAGGCGTGGGCGCCTCGCAGGTACTGCCCGTTGAGGTTGGACGTGTGGCAGTTGCGGTACCACCAGGCGCCACGGTAGAAGGCAGCGCAGTTGTTCTCCGAGTGGTCACTGTCGCGGTCCTTGGTGGTGAACCTCATGCCGCTGTGCTTCAAGAGGGAGTCACCTATGCAGCCACGCACACATAGGTGTGCTCACATGGGGCACATGTATGCACATGCAAGCATAGACACGTGTGTGCACTCCCACATAGTTATATGCCCAAGCACAGGCACACTGTCCATGTGTGTACACACACAGGTACACACATGCCCCCACTGACATGCACACTGGTGCACACGTGTACACCCACACCTGCCTTCCACACCCAAGTGTGTCCATGCAGGCTCACATGCACACACAGTGTCCTCATGGAGCCCCTTGGGTCTAGGCAATCTCTATTTCTCCTAGCTCTTTTACACACTTCCTTTCCTTGCTTTCCTGCCACAGGTTGAGAGAGGAAAAACCTCAGTCCAAAGAAGTTGGGCCACTGCACTTTAGAGGCCCAGCAAAGCCCAAACCCCAGATCTCCTGATTCCTGACTCTGGGCTCAGTTTCCTCATCTGCAAAATGGGTGAACAATCCTGGCTCTGCTGCCTGGCTTCATGTCACTGAGGTGTGGACCAGCCTGTCTGAGTGAGAGGCTTTAATCCCGACCCTAGAGGGCGGAGACACTTCGTCCAGTGGGACTTCCTTTGTCCTCCCAGGTGGGGAGATTGGTGGTCTACCCGTACCCCTTGCCCATTACATGCTACAGCCTCGAGCCTTACCTGCAGTACCTGAGTAGTCGGCCACAGTGAGTGGGTACCCATCTTCCTCGGGGTCCACAGAGAACAAGCCCACGCCAAAGCTCCCATAGCGGGCATAGGCTGTGCCGTTGTCAAAGTCCTCCAGGTCCACGTGCAGCTCATAGGCAGCCTGGGTGGTCAGAGCATGGATCCTCTTGAGCCCTGGAGCAGGGGAGAGAATGGCAGGAGAAGTTGGGGAGCTCAGAAAGTGACCCCCCTGAAGAGAAAAGAGGCAAAGGAGGGCTACACGTCTGTGGTTGGTGACAGAAAGGGACAACTACCACCAGATGCGCGTTTGATCCTGAGCTACTTCTTTCTTCCTGCAGGCCTGTGTTTGGCAGAAAACTGAGGACTGACAGTTGGTGGTGTTTGGCTTTCTCTAATCTCTTTTAAGCTGGGCGAGGCTTTCCAGACGTGGGGGTCTCTAGCCGAATGCTGGTGGAAAGATGGCAGGAGTCAGGAGGAGTCTGAAGGATCTTCTGCGTTGCAGGTGATGGCCTCTTATCCTCCCTCACACTCTAGGCTCCAGCCAGATCAGGTGTGGTACTTGCACGTCCCTGAACCTGGCTTTGAACTTTTGCACGGCAGTTCCCTCTGCCTGGGACACTTCCTTCCCACCTGCCTATCTCCTGTTCATCTTCCAGGTCTCACCTCCTCAGGAAGACCGCCAACCCTCTGCCAACCCAGGTGTTCCCCCATCGGTGTTTATCACTCCGTTCCAGCCACCTGTTTCCGCGTCTGTCTTCCCTCCAGGGTAGACGCTCCATGAGAGTAGCATGTCTGTCCTATGTTGCTGATGGGGTGGGACCCAGCACTTAATAAGTGCTCAGTAAATGTTTCCTGGCTTAGTGGAGGAGAGGTGGAAGGTGGTGCCCTCATCTGCTCTCTCCAGGGACTGGCTCTGCACCCTCACCCTACCCTGTCCACTTTCTCCCTGCCCCTCCTTCTCCTCCTCAGCAATCCTGTACCCATCCTAGGGTCTCCAGCCAGCCCCCCAACATACACACCCTCTCTCTCCAGGTGCTTCCCTGCCGGTCTGATTACCTCTTGATTAAGAGGCCATTTAATTAAACGCTTAAGAGTTAGCAGCAGCAAGTGACATTTCGTCAGCCCCTCACCACTGCCTGCCTGTCCTGAGCTCCAAGCCCCCGTGGGTCAGCGTGCACATCCCGAAGGGGCGTGAAGGCAGAGGTGGCTTATTCAATAAGCAAGGTAAGCACAGGTTTTCTTGTGCTTACTTACTAACCTGTAGTGAACAGTTTGACCACGCCACATCAAAATGAAACCTATGTGAAACTGTTCACTACAGATTAGTAAATAAGCACAAGAAAGTCCGTACTTACCTCGCTTACTGAGTCATTCGCCCCGTCAGGGATTGTAAATGTGAAAAGAGGCTTTGATTTTGTAGAAAAGTGCTGTGGGGTTTGGAGAGAGACAGATGCCAGCCATACCTAGAAGCGGAGACTTTGATGTGGTGAAAAAATGTGAAATTGTTCACTACAGATTAATAAGTAAGCACAAGTAAACCCATGCTTACCTTGCTTATTGGATAATCTGCCCGTGTGAAGGCAGTGTACACCCATCCCGTCCCCATCAAGCCCCTGAGGGAAGCCTTCGTTCGGTTCCATCCTTCAGTTCCAGGGAACAGGAGAAGAAGAGGTGGCCGTGAGCAGTGACAGCAATAGTAACAGCAGACTGCACCCAGCACTCTCCCTGCACTCCCAGATTCCTCACCCAGCATCTGGCCAGGTAGTGAGGACATGAACTTGGAGAACATAAAGGTCTCACCAAGGTCTCCAGCTCCCTGCCTCTCCTGCCACTCTCTGAGCTGGAGTCTCAGGGCGAGTGACTTTCCCTTTCTGGGGCCCCTGTTCACACACCTGTAGGGCAGGCCTCACAGGGCTGAAGGTGGGGGCAGGTGGGAAGGGCCAGAGGGGCTTCTTCACAGATGGTACAAGGCAGAGAGGATGTAGTGATGACAATCACAACCACGTGGGTGGCACTTAGGCCGGCCAGGCACTGTGCTGAGTGCTTCACGCAGATTAATCAAAGTGAATTAGAATGAGTCAAATTTAATTAAAGAATCCCTGTACAACTCTTAGAACAGCGCCTGGCCCATCACACATGTAATCCGAGGGTTTGCTGCTGCTGTCATTATGATCTGATGAGGCAGGTCCTATTATTACCCCTGTTTTACCATTGAGGAAACTGAGGCACAGGGAGGTTAAGGAACCAGCCCAGGCCACACAGTTGGTAAGTGGCAGAGCTGGGATTTGAACCCAGGCAGAATGGCCCAGACTCCTTGCTCATATTCAGTTTGTACACAGGGTAAATGATATCCAGGAATAGGGCAAGAGGGAGACTAACCCACAAAGACTCTTTTCCTCACTGCTAAATGGTGGCTGGTGCCCAAAAGTCCACCATTAGCACGTGATTCCTTTAGGTTAAGCAATGCCCTTCTCCTAATGCACTCCCCACTCTCCACAAAGGGGCTGCCAGGCTGTGTCCCCCAACGGACGGGCAGGATGAGGATGCTGGGGCCTCCAGGTTCCTTTCTGATTCAGGGCTCACCCTCATCCCCACCCTTCCTCCAGGTGGGAGGTTTCTCCAGTCCTTTCTTTTTTTTAAATATTTTATTGTGTTTTTGGTGAAAGTTTACACAGGAAATTAGGTTCTCATTTAACAATTTCTATAGATATCGTTCAGTGACATTGGTTACATTCTTCACAATATATCAGCATTCTTGTTATTTCCATTTTGGTTGTTCTGTTTCCATTAATTTAGCCTCCCTGTCCCCCTTTGCCTTCTCATCTTTGGTCTAGGGTAAATGTTTACCATTTGGTTTCATCTAGATGATTATTTTGAGGAGCACAGTACTCATGGGTGATAGTATTTATTTTATGGGCCCATCTGTCATTTGGCTGAAAGGTGACCTTTGGGAGTAGCTTCAGTTCCAAGTTTAAAGAGTATCTCAGGACAATAGTCTCGAGGGTTCATCTAGTCTCTACTGGCCCAGAAAGTCTGGCCTTTTTTTAGGAATTTGAATTTTGTTCTACATTTTTCTCCCATTCTTTCCGGTACCACCTAGTGAGTCCCTGGGCTCTCCAGTCTTTATTGATCTGCCGGGATTACTCCCCGCATGTGAACTGCTTCTCCCCCACTTCCCTGGGCCCCTGGACGGTGAGCTGAGAGTTGCCCCCACCCTCCCTGAGACTTCAAATTGCAGCGGGCGAGGGAGGAGCGAGTGGGCAGACTAAAAGAGAAAGAAAAAACACTTAGACCCATGGCATTCCTCACTCCGTCACCCCAGTGAGCTTTCCAATGGATTAAAGAGCTGAACCTAAAACAGAAAACTAAAAAAGGGTAAGAAGAAACTATAGGAGATTTTTTTTATAAAACCGGTAAAGGGAAAGCAGAGCCGAAAACCCAGAAGATATGAAGAAAAAAGACTCGCCAAATTGACTATATAAAAATTTAAAACTTCTAGGAAATAAGTAATAACATTACAAAAAAAAGAAAAAGCTGAAAGGTGAATGGCTGAGAGTACATACACATCATGTGTATCAGACAAAGAATCAATAACCTTAATATATAAAGAGCTCTGGGGGACCTCATACCATCAAGAAAGCAGTGCCAGGAGCAAAGCGCATCCTTTGGACAGGGCTCCCTGCGCTGACAAGCTCCTAGTCTGGGGGAACACTGATGAGAAGGCCAACAGAGAGAGAAAGCCTTCCCCTGGAGGTGACACCCTGAATTTGGACTTTTAGCCTACTTTACTGTAAGGAAATAAACTTCTCTTCGTTAAAACCATACACTTGTGGTATTTCTGTTAGAGCAGCGCTAGATGACTAAGACAGAATTTGGTACCGAGAGAGTGGGGTGCTGCTCTAACAGATAGCTAAAATGTGGAAGCGGTTTTAAAACTGTGAATGGATAGACGTGCGGCAGTGACAGAGGACCAGCAGCAGCAGCAGAGAACCTACAGCAACAGAGAAGCAGCAGCGGCAGAGAACCAACAGCAGCAGAACCAGGAGACCGGTGAAAGACGGAGCTGGAGCCGACCCATGGACGAGAGAGCTGAGTGCCTGTGCGCAGGAGGCTTCCTGGAGGAGTGGGGTGCCTCTGGGCACTTATCGGTGGATCTAGGCTTGCCGACCCACGAAGCGAGGGAGCCGAGTGCCTGTGTGCACGAGGCTTCCTGGCAGAGCGGGGTACCTCCGGGCACTTACCAGTGGAGCTACTGAGCTTTGGAACACTTGCCCCAGCTGGGCAGATGCGGGCATGAGGCCCGAGGGCCGAGAGGCCATAGGAAGCAGAAGCTGAAGAGAGAAGGGACATGAGAAGCAGAGATACTTCAATCTCAAAAGGTATGGCCATGACCTCAGGGGTTTCAAAGGGTGGAGCCATGGCCTCTGGTGTTTCTAAGGGTGGAGCTGTCACTCCAATGGACTAGGAGAATGGTGCGCCTAAAGCCAAGGGAGCAGAGTTGCTGTCCCAGTGGACCTGGAAGGCGGAGCTGAAGCCCAGGGCCGAGGGGCCTCCACTCAAAATCCAGAGACTGTGGCCTATACCTAGAGTCTGGAGGGCAGGGCCATTGTGTAAATTGTCTCAGAGAACGGAGGATTACTTTCAAAGCCTTGAGGGCTAATGTAATGGGTTCTGCTGACTTGCTTGATGCCTGTTATCACTTCTTTCCCTGCAATTTCTCCCATTTGTAATGGAAATGTTTAGCTTGTGTCTGTTCTGTCATTGTACCTTTGGAAGCAGGTAACTTGTATTCTAGATTTCACAGATGAAGAGGAATTTTTTGGATTTTGGACTTGGAGTTAAGACTTTTGCTATGATATGATGGGGTGAATATGTTTTCCATGTTGCAAGGATGTGATTTTTTAGGAGCCAAAGGGTGGAATGTCATGGTTTGAA